ATAATTTTGAATATGTGCTTTATGGCAATGATTTTATGTAACATCCGGCTTTAAAGGAATGAGTTTTGCAAGACTTTACATGACTATGTACGTGTTTTTATTTACTTCCATTTTTACGTTGTGTTGTTTAATTAATTCTAAATATAAAAATTACATGTTGTTATTTCTTTTTTTATGCAGATATTAGAAACGCATGTTTTGTCACAAAGAAAGACAATAGCGAAGATCCAAGTTTTTTTTATTATTTTATTTTCATAACACTAGTTAATAAGAATTGGAACCGAGGAGGAGGAAGTAATTTTTCCTATATATAAAATATTTCCTTCGGGCCTGCACTTTATTTCTTTATACAAGGAATGAGTGCTGGATATCTACTTTCAAGATTGCAATTCTTTTTTCAACAAAGTATTTCTTGTACATGTATAATCACATCGCGTACAACAATTTTTCCAAATTCATACATATTTGACAAAACTTTTCATTTTAAGTAAAAGACGTATATTACTAGAAGGAGGCTTTCTTCCCATAATCAAAGTACAGAAACAGGAAAATATCAGAAAACTGATAAAAAAAAACAGTAGAATAATATGTTAATTCTATAGTACCCACTGTATGGAAGATGAATATCATTTTGTCTTTTGCTTGAATGTCCTGTTTATGAATCTTTAAGAGAGAAAAATATCATATTATATCAGGTCTCCTAAGATGGACATGTACAAGCCTACTCAGCTTTTCATGATGTCAATGTTTTATTGGATTATTAAGGAAAATTTATTCTCCATACAATGGAATTAAGAAATAATGAATAAATCAATTCAATTTAAGGTATGTACATGAAGTGTATGAATTTAGTATGTATTAATGTATCTCAGTTACTTTTTCATGTATTAACGTAGAATTTAGAGTTCATTCTGTAATTGTTGGTGTTTGGGAAAAGGACAGATGGACACTCGGGGTTCCATCCCCTGCAGACTCTCTCCATTTGTTCTTAATTATATTTATTTTGCTTATATATGTATACTGATGAGTTCTATGACTTAGAGATATTAAAAACAGAATATACATTATATTGAAAAAATTGAACCAAAATTGAAATCAGCTTACAAAACAATCCACAAATAACAAGGAAGGCGTCATTTTCTCAATTTCCTTCTTCAGTAAATTGATGGTTAAAAAGCGTTTAGAAAAGTGGAACATTTTAATAGGAAGTTTTAAATAAAAATCTTAATCATTATTATTCAAATTGTTATATTGATTATGAATGCTACTTTGTATCAGCTTTCTTTAGTGACACTTTTGAGTTATAAAAAATATCAAGTCAGGAAATGCATTGGAAAAAATTTTCCGTGTTTTTGTTACAAGTTTAGCATCGAAGTGTCCAATTTAATCCAAGCCTTATTCTAAACAGGTATAGACTTTTTTGCATTAAAGTAAAGGAAATAATCCCTTTAAAGGTCTTCCGTTTCAACGATTAATTGATTTTTGACAGAATTATAGCATTTTGAATAATTTTCATAATAGCTTAATTAAGATCGGTTTCGAACTGCGCTAACTTCGACAAAAATATGAAGCGAGGAAAAGACGGTGGTCGGGTGGTGAAATGAGTTGAATTTTCGTCTTAATGTGGATTATTTTATTAGTTTCAAAGCATTTACAACTTGAAAATCTTTCAGTTTTACCTTGGACATGACTTTTGCATATTATAAAATGACATCCTGAGGAAAAAGGGGAACCCGGTAGGGGACATGTATTGCTTATGCAATACTCTCAGAATGCTTGTTTATTATTATTCTTACCGATTTTGTGCAGGCGATTTCTCGTAAATGCGTCGATAGATTTTCATGAAACTTTCAGCATTGATGACAAATTATATGAACTTAAGGCTTTTTTTTTTATTTGATGAAGTCACTTCCGGTTCGGAGTTTTCTGCGATTTAAGGAGTTTTAGAGGGTCATTTTGTCCGACAGTTTTCTCAAAATGCGCTTAACACTGATGCATGAAATTTTCAGTGCTGATAGAGCAACCTTTGGAGATGTGTATTTGGTATCTCTCAACCACCGGAAGTACGAAGCACCGACGCTCGCTATGGCCCGAAAATAGTCCTATTGGGAATTTCAAAATTTCTGACACCTTTTCTTCCATAGCTTTTTACCTAGAAATATTTTGTGAAAAGATATGAAACAAAAGAAGTGTAGAAACACATTATCTTTCAAATGATATCTCGAAAAAAAGGGCTTGCCCCTATAATTAAGGGCCGATAGGGGTCGAATGTTTTTCCTTAATATATCAAAAAGTATTGAAAATTTATAATATGTTAAAGAAGCAAAGTTGTTCAAAATGTCAAGCTGAATCAAATGGCGTCGTCAAAAAATGTCAGATGATGTCACTTCCGGAAGTAGCCAGAAAATGCGTATTTTTGCCGTTCTTGACAAGTTTTGGGGTAAAATCTGTGACTGAGAGCATAAAATTCAATGTTCCATCCGTCGTCGTTACTTCCGGTCAAACCGGAAGTAGGAAAAAATTGCTTATTTTGCATTAATTAACATAGATTTGGAGGATGTAAACAATTTTTGGATGTACAGCTTACTCCACTTATATTGAAGTCGCTTATTTTCAAATTCAACATATTTTGAAATAGAAATAAATCCCCAGTTTTTGCATCTCATATTCTTTGCATCAAAATAACGGTTATATTGAAATCGGATATATTGAAATTTCGCTTATATTGAAGCCACTGGTCGGTCCCCACAGGTGATAATGAGTTGTTTTCATAACGGTTATATTGAACTACTCCCTGGCGGCTGTCGTTACGGTTGGAGATAGTAATTATGCCTGATTGACCAGTTGATATACAAAGGTGTGAATAATTAAGTTTTCACCTTATGTGTTTTTATACTGCATGCTCTAACGAAATAAAACTCTTCACTGTTAAATTCTTTACGTCCACGAGTATAATACGGATATATCGAGACTAAACAGCTAAACGTAATTTAGTAACACCCAGAGATAAAAAAATAAACATAACTTTGAAATGACATACGTACTTTAATGGCTATTGATATGCCTAAATTCGAAATAACGAAGCCCGAGTACACTTATGATGAAATACAAGCAGCGTTCAGAAGTACTCAACCGGTTAAGTCCGGTGAATTTTCTCCAAAACGTAAATAAATGCGATCGGGGAATAATAATGATGTTGAAGATTGTCTTTTCAATGAAACAGAAATAAAAAAAGTTGAAACAGAAATAAAACAAATATCTAAACTTTCAAGAACTCATATTCTATGTAATCTGTTCACTGTTATAGGTAAACGATGACAAAATGAATTTGTTCGGGTTTGTTCTTCTTTATTTTAGATCGGGACTGAACTTGTAAAAATGGCGATTTCGCTTATATTGAATTACGGATATATTGAAATAATTTGCATGGTCCCCTGAATTTCAATATATCCGGAGTAGGCTGTATTTAGTTACTTTTTTTTTAAAAGGAAAGTTACTTCCGGTCAAACAGGACGGAAGACCTACTCGTTGCTTTGCAACGAGCTTTGCTCTAGTTTATTATTATTATAATGTGGCGCTGCTTTCATGGATTCGGAATTTCATTAAACAAATACACGCACAATTTTGCAAAAATCACAATTACATGCATTTCAATTGAACCTAATTTCTTAAAATTGAAACCAACTAAACGCAAAGTCTGTTGAATAAACTGAAATTATGAGAAACTACAAAATACGTGTATATAGAAAGAATATACCCATTTTCAAAACTTGAAATGTGTGAATGACCTTCACTGAAATGTTTGTATGACCTCCAAGCAATAAACATATTTCATGTGTTCATCACTTGTCAAAGAATGTATCCAAGCCAAGCTGAATACAATACAATACAATGGATGATGTTTCATATAATTTAAAATAATATTAAGTAGATATGATGATGTTAAGCTTTTCAAAAATAAATATGAATTTCAATGATAAAAAGATAAATTTATGCCTAGTCCTTTATTCCCTCGATTCAATTATAGCACAATTTAACAGTGCTTCGAAGAATATGTTTTCTTTGACGAGATGTTTAAAGTCATAATTTTGTAAATTCTATGGTCGATACATTATCAGCAAATACAATTGACCTTTAAGTCAAATACTGATTGACATTCTAAATTGATATCTTGCATATCATACACACAGTGAATTTTCATTATTCCCGGACAAAGAGCACACGGCGAGTGTGACCGGTCTGCAGGGAATGCTTACTCCTCCATTCTACCTGATCCCATCTCCTCTCATGTTTTGATCTGATTCTTTTGTGTATTGTTTATAGGGCTTTTGAGCTTGAAACTGTCCATTTATATCCATATATTTATACCCCCAGCTTGAAAAGTAGGAGGATATATAGTAATCAGGAATTCCGTCCGTCGAAATTCGGAACACAACCTTAAGCAAAAGCTTAGCTCAGAATCAGAAGAACAGTTTTAAAGCAAGCATAGCTCATTTTAATTATTAAAAAGGTATACTTAGATTGTTTAGTTTCGAGAATGTCAAAAATCAAGACAGCTGTACTTGTATGTAGGCCACAGACACAAGAAAGGGTCATAATTATTCATTTGAATATAAAATTAAGATTGATTGATTGTATGTTGTTTAACGTCCCTCTCGAGAATTTTTCACTCATATTGAGACGCCACCACTTGCCGGTGGAGGGCTACAAATTTTGTCTTATGCTCGGCACCAAGGGCCTTTGAGCAGTGAGGGATCTTTTTCCTGCCAGCATCTACTGCGACACGGGGCCTCGGTTTATACAGTTATAAAATTAAGGAAATATCTTTAAAAATTCTTTTCAAGAACAGTTATTTTTGAATTAACACTTATTGTTGATGATCAGTTCAGGGACATTCTAGAGAAGTCAAACAGGAAATGAATAAGAATGCCTAACAAAATACAGTCTTCAATGTTTTTATATCACCCAAGCAGCTTAGTTTATAAAAGGCACTGGACGCCATGGGTATTGTTTTTCAGGTTATCTATGTTGGATTATCATTTATCAACAATGCAAAGGGTCTAGGTAATTATATTCATCACCTTTATCCTTGTTTGATACAATGAGCACATTCATTATTATTTAAAAGGGCATATAAAATCGATTCATTTAAATTTTTCAATGCGATCTTTCAGTCTCTTTCAGAGGAATATATATGTATTAAAGAAAAAAAATGGTGAACCATTCAAACATCTTCTCCAAAAAAAAAATACCCGCCCAGAAAAGATTGAATTTAGGTTACGACTTCTCGACATGATGTAATTTCAAGTTAAATTCAAATCATTACCCCTCATTTTTTCAAGAGCACAAAAGCCATGATCAGTCATGGTATTTATGAGGAATCATCATTGCCTATTTTTTGGTCATATCAATAAGAAAGTATTTCAAGTTAGCGAAGATTTAATTCAACAAACTATGATTCTTGCGTATATAAGGATATATAGGAAAATCTTAAAATATAAAGAACAGCAAATCCATGATAAATCATAAATATATATGAAAGTATCCAAAGGAAGTCTTAATTCTAAGAAATATACTTGTGACTTCTCTTTTCAAGATCAATAAAGCCACCATTTGTCATAAGAAATCTTTTTTTTCAAAATTTCTTTAAATAAGTGTTTTTAAAGAAGTTTATGCAGGAAGTGAACATGATCTCCAGAGTTATTTTAAAAATAGTTTATAAAATAATCGTGCGATTTAATAATTTTAAAAGGATTTATAGCGTTATACTTGCCTTTAATTTTTCAGCTAGAAATAAACCGATTTTTTTCAGATGAAATGCTTGCCAGATACATTGTAAGTACAACTTCAAGGCTTTAGTCTTAAGATGATAGAAATGAAAAAAAATTACATGTACGATATTTTTTATTGATTTAGAAAATCTTGCCAAGAACTTGGCTTTTAGAGGTGAAGCATCCGTAAGTGCTAACCATTTCAGTAATAACATGTGGCAAGCAGACAAGGCAGTTGATGCAAGGCTTGAAATGGACTTTGGTGACGTAACATGTAGTTTTACTACGCCCTTATACTACAAGACAGCATGGTGGAAATTTACTCTGAAATAGTTGTCTAATGTGGCGTACTTGAAAATTTTCTTCAGAAATATAAGTAACCTTCATTTATTTTTTTTTTTAGAAAATCAAGAATGGAATATACATTGTACCAGAGTTTTTTTTTTTAATATAAGTTCATGGTTTATTCCTCGAAATAAACCCTGAATTTTTATACTATCATAATGTACGTATATCTAAAATTTGAATATTTTTGTGAAAGAATAAACAAAAATATTACGTTTTTTTACATGTGGGCAAATATGAAAAATATATAGTATAATATATATAGTTGTAATGCTAAATCCTACTTGAAACCTGATCCCACCTCTGATGTTTTGGAGATCCATGTTTACCCTGCTCCTATTTTGTATTGTTTTATGGATTTTACGGAATAGCGATATTGGTACGTGGAAACATAAATAACAAGTTTCCAAATATCAATCAATTGTATAGAGAGCTAACAAACAGTATTCTATCTCAAAAGTCAAAATGAGCAATACAATACGAAGCAGAGCAATCAAGGACCTCCAAAACATCAAAGGGGTTATCAAGTTTGTATGCTCATTGACAATAATTTTTCCACATGATATGAAAGTCTTTTGGAAGTTCTTTGATAAGGAATAGGAAGTACCAGTATGAAAACAAGTTTATTTCCGTAAAATATGACGGGTTTCTTGAAGTGTTCGTATTGTTTTCGGACTAAATACAGTTTTTTGTGTCTGATTTTTTAAAGCTATGTTAGTCACAATATAGTTAGTTGGTTAGTAGACTGTAAATGACCTCACACTTTTATTTGCAAGTTTGAATCAGGCTATATGAGTACCAGTATAGAATGTCCTAAACATTCTTTATATTATTTTACGAGAGACATACAAGTATCTAATACTGTGTAGGGGGGAAATAACTCGCAGTGTTAATATTCGCTTTATTCACTGTGTAAATAAATCCGTGAATTCAAGAAACAGTGAATAAATATTCAATTATCTCCATGTTTTATTTGGAAATTTGAGCATAAACTACGCTAACATAGGTTTATATACGTCCAGGCAGTACATAATCACTTCAGTAATTACGAGTAGTACTTGTCATTCAATCATTCTATTATAATTATCAAACATGCCGATAATAACCTGAATTTGTTAAAAAAATGTTTTAATAGCCAACGCTATATGTTTCATCAATCAAAACACGTGGACCAAGAGTAAAGGGTATTTGTTACCTGTATTATCATGCATATTAGTTGTATCGACATTTTGGTTTTAAAAATTCATTCAAATAACTATCGAACTTACTGAAGATGTGGAAGGATACTATTTTGTCGACCTGCTCATTAACTCATTTATTACCGTCCAGTGGTTTTTTCGCCGCGTTCTGAAAATCATGGGGTTGTCTATGTATGCACTCATCGTAATAGGAGAGGTAACTTTTATTATATACATGTACCAATTCCGCGAATTTAAGAAACCGCGATCATGTCAGATGAGGAGAAAACGTGAAAATTACAACCCGTGAAATTAATCCCCTATACAGTATGTGGGGTGTTAAAATCCTATACATGCAATAGTGGGAAATTATTACTTAGCTGAGGGAAGTTGACGATAGAAAAACCATATATTTCTTCATTTTAAAGCTTTAATGTCCTTATAATGAAAGATTATAAAGTTTATGAGAATCTACATCTTATCCGCCAGAGAATTCTGATTTATTTTTTTAATCAAAATTTCTTTTTAAAAGTTAAAATTCATATGAAAATATTGAAACCAGACTTAAGTTCAAAATGCATTTCTATTGTTGAAGTCAAAGGTAGGTTTAAAAAACAAGAGTCTTAGAATCCAAGGGCTATTTTTAAACAAATAAAATACTAGACGTGAAGACTTAATGTTTAACAATAACCTTTTGATTAACATTGTCAAGAGGAATAATTTAAGTAATGTGTGTTTGTTTCCTTATGCTTTATTTTCTACAATTTCAGCTGTAAATCGCCATACTGGATTTTCAGTATTTGTGTTCAATGAAACAACATACATACCACCATCTTCTATGGGAGAAATGGTTTTTGTTCATGATCCGTCTTCCTGTCCCAAACAGGTGATGAATGAGACCGTCAATAGAGTGACTCGAGGAATAGTTTTATTTAATTCAAAGAATCCTCCACTAGAGACTAGCTGTGTGGGATATGCACCGCTATTTGCTACCATTGAGATTTGTGAAGTTATGGTTTTTGGTACGTACTGTTTGGAAACGAGCAATTCATGTTCATTAAGTTTTGAAACAGTTTAATAGCCCAACACCGGTAAAACCAGAGGGGACTATATGTTCTCTCTGAGTGTGCGAGTTCTTCTATCCGTCCTCCTGTCTGTCTGTCTGTCTGTCTGTCTCTCCATCTTGTTTTTTTCGCACCTTTTTTAAATGCTTGTAGATATTGAGCTGATTTTTTTGCATAAAAGTCTAACTTGATGAGTTACAGATCAAGTTTGAATTTCTTTCCCCTTCCTTGGATTTTAACGGAATTATGGCATTTTTAATTTTTCATAATTTGATTTCTTATGCACAAAATTTAAAGTTCCAAACGAGATTGTATCCTAAGGAGGAAAGGGGAACACGGTAGGGGACATGTATTGCGTATGCAATACTCTCAGACTACTTGTTTTCTTCCACAGGCATTGCTTTAATAGCTTTAGGTGGCGAGCTGGGTTCGATATTGAAAAAAGTTGTACGACCTAGTCAATTACAGTAGTTTTTTTTTTTAATTTAAATTTTTGCTTTATCCTAAACATCATATTTTATTGTATGATATATAATTTACCCAATCGTCACGCCAAAAACAGAAGTCTTAAAAAAATAAATATTCCCATGAATTCATATCAATTGTAATTTACATTTTATTTGTATTTAATGATTAATTACCTATATGCAGGATGTAAATCTCAACACTATGGAGAAAACTGTTCATTATGCCCAGTAAATTGTAAGAATAATGAGTGTGATGCTTTTGATGGATCCTGCAAATATGGCTGTAGAGAACAATTTATGTAACAACTTGATTGTTCAGGTAAGTATATTGATACTCTTGCTAGAAGCACTGACTTTTAAAGTAGACCGAATACTTTGTAATGTATGGAGATACATACCGTATATCCGGGTTTTTTTTCGCATGTTGAAAATTTTGAGAAAAGGGGGTAGATAAGTACGGTTTTTATTTTGCGTGTTATTTTTTGCAATGAAATATTATCGGATATATTGCTATATATAATAGATAAGAAACCTTTCTTGTGGTCATAGGTAGTAGGCCTAATTTTTGTAGGGGTACTAACATGGGGAGGCCAAGAGTTGAGGATAGGGTTGTTGTCGCTTTTCTTTTAAGGACAGCTTATTTCTGCTTTGGAAAAAAAAAACATTATTTTCGTTGAATGAAATATTAAGCTTAAGATTTATATCATGAGATATCTTCCATACATTGTTCTAGTGTAAAAGTAAGCTGTTAACAGAAAAAAAGTCAGCGCTCCTTGCAAAAGTCTGAAATTATGCAGATTTGACGATTACCCAATGACTCTAATTATATACAGTGTAAAACTGTAATCATTATGCTCAAAAGACAACGTTTTATTTGTGTGCAATGTATGAAGAATTGATATTTTTCTAATCTGCAAACATATATTTGTTGGCCAGACATGAATATGCTGAAGTACTTTATATTGCAGTCTGTGTAGATGGTTATTATGGCTATAACTGTGAACTCATGTTTGGTAACTGTAAAACTGGGACAATCTGTAACAACACCACAGGTATCTGTCCCGAGGGCTGTCTATATCGCTGGGGAGGATTACATTGTGACGGTAAGAACTGGCATTATTTTAAATGACATATTAAATATTTTACCTGCTTCTATCGGAAATCAGTGATTTTAAGTTAAATAAAAATAAAATAACATTTCTAATTTGACACTAAATTGCTTTTTAGAAATGATTTATAACATTTCCCCCTTTCATTATGTTTGATTATTTTTTTTTAATTATTTTTTTTTATTTCTAAGTGTGTGACAGTGGTTTTTATGGTATCAATTGCACAGAGAGATGTGGTCATTGTAAAACAGGGACGGACTGTCACATTATAACAGGGATATGTCAGGAAGGATGCGATGATCATTGGAGTGGTTCACAATGTAATGGTATGTGATTCTTGGAAAAAAATATAAAAACAACTTATAGCAACAATTTTTAAAATTAGAATAACAAAAACGTAGTGGAAATATAAAGCACCATATTATACAGTATGTGCCTTGCCACTTGTAAAACCTTTCTTTATTTACGCTTTCTTTTTCCAGTTAACACTGGTATTACATGTAGACTGATGATCGATTGTTTTCCCTAATTTCAGAATTGACTCCGCACTCCTAATCAGAATTATAACAAAATCGACATAATAATTGAGAGAATATATTTGTTTAATTAATTACTGTCAACCAAATAAAAAAAAAAGATTTTAGATTTTTTTCGAATTGATCATGAATACGTAAGAAAATCTTTGAAAAGAATCTTATATAAATGGCTTAATTTTCAAAAGGCGGCGATTATTTCTTAAAATTTTAATTTGTTAGTTGTTGCAGTCTTTTTTTATACAAAAGAATATATGACAAAAACTTGATACGAAACCACAAAGGGCTGTAAAGAAAAATTGGTTCCATCATAGCTAAAGTATTTTTTATTTCTTTTGTCAAAAATGAATATGTTTTTTTTTCCCGAAAATTGCCTTTTTATAATAATCATCAATAGAAATTTCGTTTTTTAAGAAGAAGAATAAATGACCTTTTTATTCCATTTTTTTACACCTTACAACGTATCAGTTAGTAAGAAACCTCTATAACTTTAAATATTAATATCTGTAGAGTTTATTAAACACAATTTTCAAACTTCGTTTTGATATAGATTGCAAGGATGGGTATTACGGACCTGATTGTGAACATGTGTGTGGCAAGTGTTCACTTCTAGCCTCATGCAATAAAGTTACGGGGATTTGTCCGACCGGATGTCAAAAACAATGGAATGGATCAAAATGTAACGGGAAGTCCTATTGGAACAACGTTATTGTAGGTTATAAGCAATATCTATTGACACATTTGCATCAAAGTCGTTGACGGTTTTATATATTACCCCCCAAAGATTAGTAAGTAACGTGTAAAGTGTATTTCACCAGTAGTGTAGGTTAACTTAACAAATTTAACTTAAAGTTAACTATTATTTCTTAAATAGCTAATATGTGCTTCTTGATCTAAACTTTCTACTCAGTGTGTCACATGAAAATATCGTCCTCTTGTTAACAAAAATTAATCAAGAAAACGTTTATTTAACAAAGTATTGTTATTATAACCAAATATACAATATTTTCAGTTTGCGCTGATGGCTTTTATGAGTTTAATTGTGAGAGTACTTGTGGAGAATGTTTGTCTGGGACGATTTGTGATCGGTCAACGGGCGTCTGTCCTGAAGGATGTAAAGGGAATTGGACAGGTCCTAAATGGAATTATTATAGAACGAGAATCGTCGAACACTGGCCAAGGTGTGAAAAATATATAAACCTTATATATGTATATGTTAAGCATACCGTAAACCAGAAGAATACACATGGCTATCAGACTACGTATGGGTGTCGTAAGCTGAAAACACAAAATGAAAAGTTTAGCATAAGTACATGTGTATCTCAGATATGCCGACATATTGGTACAAATCGCTTAATAACGGCACGAGTAGATATAATTGTTTACAGTTATAAGAGTAATTAACCTCTAAAATTGTACAGTAAGATGTAAGAAGTAAAGAAACATTTTCGGTATATATTCTGCTTCATGGAAATATAAAAAAAAATATAAACGCAGAGGCCTGTTCTACAAAGCGAGCTCTCACGAACATTTCTATTGGAGGTATAAAAGGAATATTGGTAGCCCTCGCAAAAATGCGCTCTGTTGAACAGACCTTGGGTCGAATAGATCCCAATGGAATTTCAATAGTTTGTTTGAAGATCTGCTCTTTGAAAACTACATAAATATCGTCAATAAGGAACTCAAACCTTCGTTCATCATCAATCCCATACTGTTTTTGTTTGTTTAATCAGACATTGTTATTTCATAAAGGTATTATTTATTTGGATAACATCCATATAAACCATTGTTGCAACTACCGTCCCTGTTATTAAATATATTGAACCTATTGCCACATATCGCTCTAATAGTCTTTGGGATTTTTTTGACAACATCAGACACCAATGAACGCTTCCCTCCGATCTTTCCGTCTTATCGTCCTCTGCTGAGTATTTGATGACCGAGAAACCGCCCAAAATCGCTGAAACAATCTATAAACATGTCTCTTGTTTACATATTTTCCTCTGTGAATCTAATTCATTATCGTTACCGTCTCGAATGGCGATTTCTCTGGACAGCTCGTTTCGGCGTTTTTTATTTTTCAATTCTGGCATTTTCTTTGCTCATTGCATTAGAGTAAAGCAACAATATTTATGATTGAGAATAGCAATTACGTTATGTGGCAACACACTTTGAAAAATTTACGCACTTTGAAATTTTTTTTTCAAAGTGCGTTAAAATTTGGACAAAATCAACGCACTTTGAAAAAAAAAATCAAACTGCGTTAAATTTGGGACCAACTCTACGCACTTTGAAAACATTTTTCAAAGTGAGTTAAGAGTTTACATCAATATATTTTATCATGGAGACACTTGACGCACTTTGAAAAATATGTAAAACCAAAAAAAAAAAAAAAAAAAAAAAAATTCTGGATTAAGATTTTAGTAATGGAAATATTTTATTTGTGATTTTTCTTTCAAAACACTTATGCATTGATTTACTCCCGTCGAGAGGAGGAGAAGTCAGATAGAAGATCTATCAGTCCAAATTTTTATCATTCCAATGCATAGGCGTCGGTAACAAATAAAACGGGAGAGGGGAGTAATAAACCCTAAAAAGAGAAAGCCGTATTTTCAATGCTTATATGATGAATATCTTTCAAAAATAAGTGGGGGCCTCTTGCCCTTTGCCCGGTTTTGATGCCTATGCTATACTCAAAACATGTATATGTACATGTATGTATAATATGCATTTATAGTGGTATGACGTTGAAAACTTTCCATAAATGAGTCAACTTAAATCAGATGAAAACTAAAAAAAATGTAAGTACAGTAAAATGTATGAGAGAGAAAGAACTCTCATAGTTTTGAAAAATCAAATTGCCCTTTTTTCTTAAGATAAATTTAAGGCTTTTAGTCGGTCACTTTTAGCCCCCCACTTCCACCCCCTTTTACATCTGCCTATTACAGACTAAAATTTTTAAACAGAAACAAAATAATGATATTAAAAAATTATCTCTCTATTTTTTTTTCTAAAAGACCCATTTTCCTTTTATAGCTATTATCAAAACCTACTATATTTAGATATTCAATATCTCATGTCATGAAGTGACCACATCATAAAAAAAGATATCCAACCATGATCAATTAATTATCATACCGATTATTTGTGAGAACATTGATCAAGCTTAACATGTTCTTTTTCGATATGGTCGATATTAACGCACTTTAAACATTTTTTTTTTCATTTGAAGTGCGTTAGCTTGGTCCCAAATTTAACGCACTTTGATTTTTTTTATCAAGTGCGTAATTTTACAGTGCGTTATAACAGCGTACGTCATTTGATTTTAAACAAAACACTGGAAATGACTTAAATGTCGTGTTTTAAAATATTGGGTGATTAATCGCTTTTTTAAAAATGCTTTTTGATATGGTTTGTTTTTTCATTTAAAAATAAAGTTGTGACGCGGCAACACCCAATATTGTTTTTGTTTTAAACAATTAAAAATAAATTCAATTTAACATCATTTAATGAAAATTTCAATTCTAATTTGATTTATATATGATGACCGTCAAGCGAAAATCATCCTTATGTGCATTATGACGTTATCGAGAAAACGAGCGCTAAAGTTGACGTCATAAATGTTTGTCGAATTTTGCAAATAAATGCAGTGCGAAGGACGCATCATTAATTATAATATTTCTTCATACAGTAAATGCTTATACTAAACAACATAATGAGAAGTCGTAAGTATAATTATTAAAGTCCACTGTTTAGTATGAAAAAAATGCATGATTTACAGGAAACTGAAGGAGAAAATCCTTTGAAGTAGCGAATTACCACGATCTTCGCCTTTATTTTTTTTTCATTTTCGAGGAAAATTTTCTTTTTACTTCTAAAACACAAATATGGGAGAGAAATCGCATACTGTCTTAAGACTCGAGCAGCAACAAAGAATAAATATAGATCTACTCTTATTCAACATTATTTTCGTTACTATTTATTGATAATTTTCTATATTTATGATAAAAAGAATTTTAAAAAAACTAAACAAAGTGTAAAGCCAAGGCCTTGGATTTCATACAAAGGTGTGTAAGTTTATTGCAAACTAAACAGCGTTATGTACCAAAAATCAAAAACAAGCTTGAAGAAATGGGGAGGCAGGTCACAGATAGAAGTTGGATAACACAGCCCTCAGTACAATTTGGCAGGAAAAATATACTTGACTATGACAAATAAAAAAGTTCGTTTTGTTTTCTTTCTTATTCCTTGTCAAGAACACCCCCCCCCCTAAAAAAGTTTTTTAAAAAAATAAATCGCTTCCTATGAGTCTGAAATAATCTACATGTACAAATACCGCAAACGAAGGGTTCCGAAGTAACCTGCATTATACTTACATGTATTTACTGTTACCAGGCAACAGGAAACGTTCAGTATTCACCACTTCCTTTGAAGATTTTTCGGTATCTGTGTATATCTTATTTGCATGTTTCTGCTTTTAGAGGGGAAAGTACCAATTGTTAATTATTCATTCTATAAAATATTTGCTAAAATGAGTTAAAAAAAACAAATTGATATTTTTTTTAATATGTTGGAATAACAATGCAACATTCTGAATCGAATACAGCCTACATGTTTTAGGAAAAGTTGAGAAATTATCATAAAAATAAAATCATTTAATATCTAAATTATTTTGTATCCTAGTACTACATGGTTTGGGGTGGGTATAAGCAACTTATACCTTGGGTATAAGCAACTTATACCTTGGTTATAGAAATTAAATTAACTTGAAACTGATGAAATATTTAGCTTGGGGCTATTATACGTAACTCTATATAATTACGATATTAATTTTTTAATGTGTCATTTAATCAACCAATCAAACCACAATTACACAAGTGTACAATGACCTAGCATCGTTTTTTAAAGGGGGCAGCCAGAGAGAAAAAATTAATTTACCTGAAAAGTTTACAAGCAAAATGTCCAAACTCGAAAATCCTATTTCGTGGGGGGGTGGGGGGGGGGAAGCCAGCAGAAAGTAGACACGCAGTGGGATTAACAACATATTCAAGGCTGTTTTTACAACCCGTTGCACCCCACTCAACAGATTTACGACAGGTGCATTATGCACGGGACTATTCTTATGAGCTTTCGATTCCACTCCACGTGCATGTACATTGTACATGTATGACAAGTTGACCTGCAGTTAACTGCAGAACTGAAGCTAGATCTCCGAAATAAATTGACAGACCGGGCTGTAAAAATATTTTTTTTTTCGGAGAGCTACAGTTCTGTAGCTAACCTACATATCTGGGCATGTATAGTATGCTTAGTACATGTACATACTATTAGTATAATGCTCTCTCTCCTTCTCTCTCTCTCACACACACACAAAAGGAATTGTTTCAATGATTTTTGCACGAACTGTCTCACGTCACTAGAGATCGATCAGCATTTATGTCCAGAATTTATGTGCGAGGATCGTATATTTTGGTCATTGTTTTCGAAGGTGTATTTCAGGGAAACTTTTAGATTCTAGGCGAAATCAGGTGTTATTTAAAAGTGTCCATGGGACAATGCTTCATTTATCATTTATTTTCAATATAAACACCTAATGTCACGCCAGATGCACGAAACGCGTGCATAAAAGAGAAAGCAGCCATTACCCCCTCCCTCTAAATTTTACGTTTTAAAAATTTTATCCCGTGCGGAATTTTCATCCTGATAAATATCTTTCTTTTATTAAAAAAAATATGGACCCTAGCCACACTGCAAAATTACGAATTCACTCCTGCTAATGCATTTTTATATGCATAGCTGAAACAAATACGCATGTAGGTAATGTTTTAATTGTCTTAATTTTAGAAAAATTGTTGTCTACAATTAAGCAGGAAAAAAACACATGGTCAATTATTTCAAATAATAAATATTTTACCTAAAAGAGACATTTTTTTCATCATGGAGACTTGCTATCTGTCAAAAATTTTACTTCCTATGCAAGCCCTGTACATTGATAAAAGGTGGTGGATGTTGGAATCCCTTTAATAAGTAAAATATATAGAGACGGAGAGAATTAAATAACGATTTGTGAACTTGCTTTCCACCACGAGGAACGACAAATGCGCATTATCAGAACATAAGAAAGGAGGGGGGTATCCTTCCAATCGCTGGAAGTTCAGTACTATATTTAAAGTTTTAGTGGGTATAAATTATATTGCAGCAATGTGTATTATATGCATCTTTAATGCAGTGTCAGAGATGACAATTACTTTGATAAAGCTCTTCATGCCATTTGAGTGAGATTATAATAGAAAGATACAATCGAATCTGTTCCTCAAACTGCTCCAAAATACAATAAATTCATTTGGAAAAAAAACCTACAAGGACAGAAAGTATTTTCGACGAACGCCTTGATTTAATTTATGTGTGAAATGATGTACTTTCTCTCTCGTCGCGGGTTCGAATCCCACCGCGGGACGTGGAGGCCGGTCCTTCGGATGAGACCGTATAAACCGAGGCCCCGTGTCGCAGTACTCAGGCGCTGGCACGAAAAAGATCCCTACCTGCTCAATGGCCCTAAGGACAGAGTATAGGGTAGGGTGGTGTAATTTCGTCCACCTCGTTAATTTCGACCGTTAATAAATACCTTTATATATTTTGTTAATGGCGTATAATTGTGTATATACATGTATATTATGCAGAAAGAAAACGTATTTTAAATATATTGTGTCCAATATAATTTTATTTCCATGAGCTTTATTAAGATCGTTATTGATAATTATCATCAAAAAATACTAAGGTTTATCACACGAAAAATTACAGACGAGTATATACCGGGTATCTTTTGCCACTGCGGCAAACTATCGCGTCAGAAAAATCTTGTATGGAAAGACAATCAATGGATATCCCTGACATGACATTTATCAAATATTATTTTATAAATGAAAGAACTTTATTCGGTAAAAACCAATATTTGCCCCCCAAATCAAACTTTGATGGAGATATATTTAATTAAGTTCTTAAACAGGGGAGTATACGCTGACTACAAAGCACTGAATATTTTCATAATCAATGACGCCATATGTACGTAATGACGTCACAAACATGACGTAAATTTAAGTTTTTTGTGAATTTTACAGAAAAATGTACATATTTCGTCGATATTTTGAGTAAAAGTCACCGAGCGCATGAGTGTTCAGGATCAATATTTTGATATAATGTGTAGAAAGATAATATCAATGAAATATGTCAATATTGTTCCTGAACAAACTTGCGCTCTATAAATTTTAAAGCTAAAATTGTTGAAAATTTGTCCATTTTGTCCTCTTTCTGAAAAAGGATATAAAATCGGACTAGTTTGTGACGTCATAAAAACAAAAATTGTGAATACACTACTTTGACACTATAATATTTTCTGTGAATTTATATTTGTCATACAATTTATTGAATTCAGCACATTTCAGAAAGTTTTCAAAATTTGACTTTTGTGAGGGGCAAATATATGCAATATACCGCATATAGTTCTTTATACCTTTTTAATTTATAGTAATTAGTTTTTTACTAATTAAATTGCAAATCAGCTGAACATAAATCGGTCGAAGTTATCCGTACATGAATACGGCGTCAGTGGGTAACTTCGACCAATGTAAAATGACGCAATTTACTATCTGTCACCAGAAAGAATTCATGACCGTCCGAAAAAAAATATCAGGACAAGAATTATGTACATTAATACCTGGTAGCAACTAGTATTACAATAGTGAAAAATCATTCGTTTTATTTAAATGCGGTTTAGATGCATGCACATTTACATTTGTACACGTGTAGCATGCCTTAACCAATATAGTAGCAAATCAGCGTCATAGACATATCTGGTGCACTCGATGTCTTCGAATTAAGTACATTTTGAAAATTCTCATTTTTTGGTCAATATTTTTACTCGATCTTTTATGCTGTATAGCAGAAAAATTTAAATTCAGTTTTTTTTTTGATATATTAGAGCTGACGCCAATTATTTCCTTTGTATGGCTCATCGGTCAAAAATACCCCGTGTGCGGTCGAAATTACCCAACACACATATCTTGTAAATCGAACGCATTTATTTCATATTCTGACCAAAAATATTTACAAAATCGATGTAATCTGAAAGATAAAAGGTATTTGGAAGGTAAAAGGATCCAGTAAAAGTTGAAGCATAACATAACAGTGACATACTTTAACAACTCTTAAGTACAACAAAATAATCGGTCGAAATTACACCACCCTACTCTAATGCAAAATTTTCTCCACCGGAAAGCAGTGGTGTCTCCACATTAGTGAAACATTCTCGATAGGGACATTAAACAGTACATATATACAACCAATCTTCTTCTCTGGAAATTGATAGGACCGTTTTTTATCAGAAAACCCCTTATTAGCAGACATAATTTCCGTATTCCGAATTTATTTAAATTCGTATACACGAGACACAGGAAAGTTTTTCTGTGGTCTTATAATTTTAGATATCCACAATTAACGTTCATGTATTATCAATTCGCAACAGTTACTTTCATTCATATGTCGACTCGACATACCATGATCATGAAATTGTTCAAATTGTTTAATCATAAAATGACGAGAAAAAAAAATTCTGAAACAAAAGAACATTCAAACTATCTGATCTGAACTGTGTACGTGTACATGTATTTCTTTCTTTCTTTTTTTTTTTTGGGGGGGGGGGGTGGGGTGGGTGGCATAAAAGTCTTTAATTAGTATTAGTTGAATCTGAGTTTTCCGTCGAGATTTTACGAGCATAGACCATATAAACAATAAACCTCCTCCCCTAAAAAGAAAAATAAACTGACAAAAATGATTGCAAAAGGGGGATAAAAACCTGACATTTCTTCTAAAATGCTAAAATTATCGATCATAAAAGGTGACAATAACAATATAATTAAATAAAAATCCCTTATGTAATGTCATTTGTTGTCTGAGGTGATTTTTCTTGTGCAGTTTTTACAGTGAAACCATGGAAATGTAGAACAAAAAAAAAAGGACGTTGTCCGATAAAACACGGCGTCATAACGAAGAATTTGTACTTTTTATTTGAAAAATTTCACTAAATTTAAGTCTTTGAACAACTACATGTTATATATCATTTGAAAGAGGAGAAAATTGTCTATCAGGATCACTGAACAACTCAAAATGTCAAAATTTTCACTTAAGGGTAGTTTTTGCTTGACGGTCATCATATGAAAATCTTTTGGTATGTTATATTTGATAATATGAAGTCAAATCTAAAAAAAATGATACTGTTTCATTACTTTTTGATCAACCCTCGTAAATACTAAAATATTGTTTAAAATTGAAAATTAAATTCTATTGGGCTTCAAGCACCTCACCCACCTATATCCCAAAATGTCGCGTTTACACGCATCACTGCATTACTTGGTTTCATACGGAGGGGAAATAAGCATCGAGACCCTATATAAGGTATCTAAGTGTTTGTTACATTAGCATCTTGGTCCTACAGAAGGCATTTTGTTTTGCTTTTTATATCATTTGCAGACCCATCAAAAGGTTTCAGAAGAAAAGAGCGGCATTGAGAACTAGGTAATACTGTACCTGTACATAATCTGGACTATTCAAAATTAAGCGTAATCACTGTGTATGGAGTTGTTGGCGTAATCATAAATTAGCGCTACATATATCCGTTCAATGTATTATGTATGGAATAATTTCTTAGCGGTATTCTTGAATTAACACATTGTTGTCTGCGTCAAAGTCATTAAAATATGAAGCCCCTTTTAAAAGTACACGTACAGCAGTTCACTCAAAATATTATTTTCGTATATGGTCTCCTGCACTCAGTTACTTTATTGGATGAAAAAATCGAAATCCTTAATGTCCCAAATATGTTTCTTGTTCAAATTGGTGATATAATACCGACATTTTGAATATATTGTTGTCATGTTTATTCTTTGCCAGTGAAAGCTGATGCTGATTAATGATGGAATACAAACCATATATACAAGAAAATATTGAATATGGTCTTTAAATGATCCTTCTTAAGGATATCTGTTTTATAAATTTTGTTTTTTGATCAAAGATCCGAAAGCAGAGGAGATATTTAGTAGGTTATTGTAGACTTAAAAAAAATTGAATTACTCTTAATTGTTGCAAAGGTACTTGAACAAGAATGGTACTTGTTATTTTCAAAAAAATGTCATTTGAAGCTCTAATGATCTGTTAATTTTTTGGGGGGTTATGTGTGAGGAACACTAGTGTACGATTAATCTGTTTCCTTTGTAATAGATAGTGTATGTAGATTTTGCAGTCCAACATAAATAATTCATATTTACCCACTAGAAATTATATAATTGTGTATATCATGTTTTTGCATATTTAAAAGTCTAACCTCGAAAATAAAACTAATGTAAGGTGTTGAACCAATGCAAATAATGCGAGGAGGAAATATTTTTAAAATGAATTATTATTCTTCACAACTTCCTTGTATCTTTCCATACATGATACTTCTTTATATTTTTGAAACGCTACAGATGATTTTTATTACTTTATACGTAAGACAGATTTCACACTGGTAGTAACACAGAAAACAGATATTATTAATTGTTAGCAGGAAGAACATACAGTAGACGTCAATGGACGACATGAAGGTTTTACTTCAAGTTATCTGTATTGGAATGAGCCTTGTTGATACAGCAGAGAGCCTAGGTAATTAATATTACTTGTATAAATACATGTACACGTAATTTATTTAAAGAGCTGTTTAGGGGTCGCTGGTCGATAAAATGATCAAAAACAATTTATCATTGAGTTAAATTCTTACTGAAGACCTTATTGTTTTCGTTTGGTTTCTTTTTCCTTATTATTATTCCTTTTTTCTCACCGATTTTTGTGCACAACAGTTCTCAGAAACGGCTTGGACAATTTTCACGAAACTTTCAGATCTCATATTAATCTGAACCTTATTGGAAATTTTTTATATTGAAGGCGTCACTTCTGTTTGTGAGATATGGTCGATTTTCTGATTTTCAGAGGGTCAGCTTGTCAATCACCCCAAAACGAATGATGATACTGAGTTCAGATTCTTAGTGTAGATAGAGAAAGGATAATGGCATTGCTATTTCGAGTATATAGCTTACAGTGCAATTACAGGAGTTAGCAAACATATCAAAAACTGAATTTTTTTTTCAGAAAATAAAAAAATTAATACTATAAAAATAACGATCAGAGGAATTTGAATACCTAGCAATTTTACCGAATATTTTCAGTAAATGTTTCAGTAAAAAATGGGTTGTACACGCACATGTTAATATAACAGCATTATGTATTACAGTATATTTTTATATTTACTGAAAACTGTAATTATTATTAGTATTTTTTTAATTAATTGCAAATTTTAATATCATGCACGTACATGTACAGTGTAGAATCGGGGTGGGTGGGGTGAAAACTTTACTTTCATAGGCGTCGGAAGCAAATTGAAGGGTGGGGGGGCGGCTAATTTGAAATTGGGGGGGCTAAATTAATAGACTGGTTGTCCCCCTTTTGCAGAATATAGTCAAATCAGGGTAAGGCTGCTGGTAATTTTCGGATAAAATTTGGTTGTTCAAGAACTTGAATCATAACACCCCCTCCCTCCATCCCACACAACACATTTCCGAAATTGAATTTTGAGTTTAGAAAATGTTCCTTTACTTACAATTTGCATGATAAACCATCTAAGATATTTAGCGGGTTTTTTTTGGGGGGGGGACACTATTTCGAAAAGCGAGGTAAAAGTTTTACTTTACATTTTTGTTAGCCATCAAACTCTTTTTCAATTGTATCTCTTTAATCTACGTAGTTAATTTCAATTTTCTATATCAATGTAGAACAATTTTAAGAGTTAAAAGGTATATAACAATGACTGATTGCCTAATTTAAATGTTAAATATCTGCTGTATATCAAAATAAACTTTTTGACAACAAGATTCTCTGATTTGTGCTATTCTTATTTCATGTGTTGTACGATCGCTATTTCTATGTTGCACGATCGCTTCATAAAAAGATACATGTCGTTGACGATCGCCTCGCGGTTGTCAAATTTTCCAGTTAAAATTTGTTTTTAGATAATGTATGTAGTTTTATTTTCAAAATAATTTAGTTCATACCTCCAAGAACCGTTACATAACAAAAGCAGCAAATGTCCGTAGGTAATAACAACAATAAGCTATTTCAAAGCATGAAAATTTGATATTTTGAACATTGTCGCTTTGATCGGTAGCATTTGCACAGAAACTGTGAAACAAATTTACTCTCGGTAAATCCTAAACTGTAGATAATTATCTAAATTAAATGTTTTCTAATTTTATTTTCAGCTGGTTATACTCCAGCACATACAAAACTATATAAATTTACCCCCTACAATACTTTCTTCTTCAATGTTTTTATCTGCGTTGCCGATCGCGCGTTGACAGGGGTGAATACGGATTCATACAGGGTGTGAAATAGAAATCCGTATTGGGCGAGGCGAAGCACACCCTGTATGAATCCATATTAGGTCATGACTGTGTTATTGATGTTATGCTTGTATACTGTTACAAAAAGAGTGTATGTTTACGATCAAAGAAGTTCAAATCACCTTCTGACGAATCAAATAATTATAAATTCAAAAAAAAAAAAAAAAAAAAAAAAAGAACTATTTCTTCGGAAAGAACGGAAATTTGTACGCTTCTGAACAAATTACAAATTTCTTTCGATTAATTCGAAATTCATACGGACAACTAAGAAATCCTTTCGAAAAGAAATTATATATTATTCTAGACAAATTAGATATTCCAAGGACGAATTAGATTTTTCTTCAGGAAATAAAAATTTTTGTTCGGACAAGTAAAATATATTTGTTAGGAAAATTAAGATGTTCGTGATGAAAAAGCTGAGCTGAAAAGCTAGGGCTATTCGAAACACTGCATCAAAAATGAATGGTGAAGAATCGGGAAACATATGTGAAGTTAGAACTTTCATTAAAGCTACAGTAACTGTAAAACTAAGTTTCCCCCAATAATATTTCCTATAATATGTTATAAACAGCAACCTATTATTAGCTTATAGACACATAAACATGTGCATTTCAATGATATTTTTTAAATGCCATCAAAGATGATTATAGAACTTACAACAACTGTTGTAATGATTGTCAAAATTCAAAAAATTATCACGGATGATGTTTGATTGACTTTCAAAAGTTTATCAAATTTGGTAGGAATATTCTTTTTTTTTTTGGGGGGGGGGGGGGTTAGCTCACGTTGTTTTATAGAAACAATGGACACTGAAAAAAACTGTTTCTCAACGATTACCCTATTTTTGGCAGCCTGTAAGTTTATGCAAATATTTATTTTAAATATAAAAAAAATCATCCATCTTTGTCTGAAACTCTAAAATGTGATGAACCTGAATCCATTACTTTGAAGCCAAACAAACTTTTACATTAGAATATACACTTGACCAAAAAAGCAAAGGTCTGGGAAAAGCAAAGAATTGCTAGAGTACAAGGAAAGTATTAATGTCATTTTCCTAAAAAGAAGTGGCTTTGATTTTCAGATTCTTATTTGGAAAGAGATTTCAATTTCTGGACGAGTCTAGAAAGCACAATTGTTGCAAAATAATGATACGGTAAATGAGAGAAAGGAACCAGAAGCAGAAATTGGCTATATTAAATTTCGTCACAACTTTTGAACCCACTTGACATGAAGAGTAAGAAGTTTTTGAAAAAAGGAAAGTTAACGTCTTGTAACACAAATAATATCATTCAGATATTTCACTTTTCCACGTATTTCATTTTTCAAACTTGAAAAAAAAACCACATATTAGAAAAAAAAATCCCGAAAATCATAGGATTCGCCATATTTCAATTTACAAAGGGCATACTCAAAACATGTTTTAAAAACAATTCGGAATTGGATAGAAATGTTAGAGACATGTGTTTCGATTTAAGGAATGCATTTAAGGTAATCATTAAAATCATTAAAAAGTGGTTTTTCTTTTTTATCGAACAGCGAGGACATTGTTCAATGAACAGCCTTCGTTTCTATTATGTCTAAGGCCTCGATCAAATATATACGATACGTAATTTCGAAAGCCCTCTTGTTGAGAGGATCTGCTACTCGAAATTTTATCGGGGAAATGCAGATTTAATATAAGACTTTCTAACTATATTGCTAAAGAAAGTTCTATATCCTTCAACATCTGTGGGGGATGTCTTGAAAACAGTCTGGCATTCATTTAATCATTCTTTATTTTCTTATAATTGGTGTCAGTGAATGGGCTTCAGAATGTCCCCGGACTAGTGATAGAAACCTTCGAAATGTGAAACTGCATTAATCAAATTTGAAAGTCTTGCAAACGAAATGTAAATATTTTGTCAGACTACCTCTCAAATACAGATGTGGTTTATAATACCTGTAATTGTGCTCTGTAAGAATACACCTGTGGAGATGATTTAAAACTCCTTTTTGGTCATTCAGTGTATGTTGCCCTAACCATTTGACATTATTATGTTGCCCTAACCATTTGACACTATTCACGGATGTGTTCGATTTGTCAATTCATTCTTTTTCGATGTTGTTTCATTTCAATTGTATTTTTAAAAATTGCTAGTTGATAATTGATTAGAAAGAGTTATAGTAAAGGCACATTTACAATAAGAAGTGTCCGTAAAAGCCGTAATATTTACCTCATTGTCATAAGGTTCGCCTTCCTGTCTGTTTATCTATTTTATATGATTTATATACTAGCGAGTTCCCAAATTTACACATTATAAGGAACGAAGAGTAACTGATATTTTCAACAGATTACAGATACATGTTTTATTTTCTTTAATAAATGTGGAAAATATTAAGAGTGTTGCGTTAATTTCCTAGTAATCACCAAGATGGAAAAACACATCACCTGATAGGGTGATTATGATAAATGGATTTGTAAATTATGAAGATTCAAAAGATAGCAAGAAATACAGAATTTCAATATTCATCATCCATGTTATCGTTTATTTTCTTTTATCTCCTGCTCTTTTGATGTCAGGCATAACAGTGTCTGCTTTGTGTTTTATATAATTTTACGGGATCATATTGCAGAATATGATACCATGGATTTTTGTGTTCTTTCGGAGTTTTGTCTTAACCTAATATGATATTTTGTTTTGCGTCGTTTACTTAAATAAATTTCCTTTAAATCAATCGAAAAAAACTAGTTCAGTTGACTTGGCTTCGGTCATGCAATAATGAAAAGGGAACATAAATGATATTTATTAATGATTTTGTACTAAAAAGCATTTTGTAGAGAAATAAAACATTTTCAAATTCATTGTCTGTATTGTTGGATTCGAAGGAAGGTTCCGATGTATATGTTCATTTCTCTAGGCTTCCTAAATTTTGACGCTAATGTACTACTGAGTAATTCGCCAGCAAAATTATCTAATATGTCCGAACAAATATCTAAATTGTCGAAATCCGAACAAATATCTTATTTGTCGGAATTCGAACACATTTATAGTTCGTATGAACAAATAATATCTGAAAGAGTAATTTGCCTGAACAAGTGCTATACCTTATTTGTAAATTAAAACATTATCTTATCCGTCCAAAGAAAAGTTTTCATTCATCCGAAAAAACTGTAATCTGTCCCAAGAAAAAGCTTGCTTTTTTCCCATTTAAATAATTCTTTTATCGAAATTTCGCATTCGTCCAGACAAATTTCGAATTGGTCAGAACTAATTTCTTATTGGAAAAAAAAGAATCTGTCCAAGAAATGACTTATTCGTCCGAACATTATTTATCTAGCACTGCTGGAGTATCATAATAACTATTGTCTAAGATTCTGTATATTTTCTATTCTAGAAAATCTCGCACAAGATATTTCATATAGAGGAAAAGCTTCTCAGAGTTCTGTATACTTCGATGGCTCAGCGAATGCAGACAAGGCTGTAGATGGACATCTAGAGGAATCGGGTAAAGATTACTGTAGCTTTACACGGTCTAAGGATTTTAAAGCAGCGTGGTGGAAGTTTACACTGATTCAGACAACAAATGTTGCATATCTACAGATTTTCCTTAGGAAAGGAAGTAAGTTTATATGCAAACATGAACATTGATACACATATACAGGTACATATTTACATATATACTGATGACAGTCTTGAACAGTATTTAGCATGTTACTACGAAGTATTAGATATGTGTATATCTTAATTCTAGAAGTAAATAAAGCAATTTTGTAACCTTTTAGAGCGTTTTAAGAGTAATGCAATAATGGCAAGGTAAGCGATAATTTTTTATTTAATGTAGAGAAGTTATGATACCTATTCTATGTTAACTATTTAATAATATTTTGATTCGGGTATGTATCCAGATAGTTGGTCAAAGGGATGCATTGTATCAATATTGAAAGAAGGCGAAACCTGTACGAAATGTTCCGCCTGGAATATAGGGGAATTGAGGCGTACTTGGAGAGGGAATTCCGGGCATCAGTTTATCTCTCTACATATATGGTGATACACAGGTTCCGGGCGTAACTCAAGCGGAATTCAAGGGGAAAGTGGCAGGAATTTGAGGCGAAAAATGCAAATGAGTTACGCCCGGAAAAATAAATGACGCCCGTAAAAAAATTACGCCTGGATTGGGTTGCTCAAAACTCTGGTTAAATTTGTCCAGAGGATAAGTTAGCCGTTGGTTAAATTCTATATCCACTGGGTAACTAACCACTGGTCAAATATTTGTTGCTCAAAATAAAATTAGCCTCTGGTTAGCTAACCACTGGTCAAGTGATTTAACCAGTGGTTAGTATCCCACAATGCATTACATTTGTCCGTCTGTCACCACAAAAAAAAACATGGCTTCCAACAGTGTCAACAAAAAAAAAGATGTGAGAATTTTTCAGCCGATGAAACTTTATTTTTGGTAGAACAGGTGGAAAAACATATTGAAGTTATAAAATCGAAACATACAAACTAAGTAACAAATGTAAAAAAGGCTGCTGCCTGGCGTGAGATTACGGAAGCGGTAAATTCAAGGGGTGGGGTTGTGAGAACTGTCGATCAAATCAAGGAGAAGTACAGAAAGGCTTGTTCCAAAGCGAAGGGGGAAATCGTCAGCCAGAAAACGCATCGCATGAAGACCGGTGGTGGTCCACCTCCACCCCCAGTTGATGCCATTTCACAGAAAATTCTGGACGTGTTCCAAGACGCCCCAAACTTCGTTGGCATTGAAGGAGGGGTCGAAGTCGGAGGGCTTGTTTTTGAAGGTACTTTTTATCTTTCTGAAATAGAATTCAAATAAAACAATAAGCAGGTCTACACAATGTTTACATTCAAAAACGAGGAAATTTGAAATACCGCAGCCCGTCTGCGCACACTGAAAATTCCACAGAATTTATTCTTTCTCAATTTAGCAGGAGTTAAAAGAATACGTTTTACCTCATGTTCTCGTGTTTGAGCCTAGTGCATTCCTGTCAAAACATCCATTTCATTAAACATCTCTCGCAGACATTCCGAGTCAGACGCCTTTTTTTTTTTTTTTGCAAACTGCAAGTTGAAGGCCAATTAAAGTGTGCATAAGCACTTCGCCCATGTAGTGTTTCGGTCCAAACAAAAAAAAGAAAGATTAGTACACAATGAAAAGCTTCATATATTTTTTGGTTTAATGCATATACTTTTTTTCTTAAAAGAAATTCTTCTATTTATTAGGAGCTTTGTGGATTTATACTATTTCTACAAAATATAATTTTCTTTTGTTCAGAGGTGCCATTGCCAGCAGCAAGTACACATGAGTATGCTGATTGTTCAAGTGACTATTATTTTTTATGCATATTACAATAAATACATAACAATATATTTAAATTAGTAAGACTCGAATGTACTTAAATTATCTTTTATTCATTCAATATTTTTTTACTAATAAATGTTAATCAAATCATCATCATCTGACATCATCAAAAAATGTATTTCCATCATACAATGTAGGTGTAAGTACATTTTATATTAAAATACATGTACTTTATGACTTTTAATCAAAACGATCTTGAAAATTATTAAAAAAAAAAAAAAAAAGAACTTTGTTCATGAACTAAACAAGATTAAAAATTATGTTATTTATTTTTTTTTTTGTATGTTGGTCCATATATCCACAGGTGCATGTCAATAAAAATGATTTAAATTACTTTACAGATCCTGTTGGAGATGAAGCCCTAGTAACTGCAGCAAACAACTTGGAAAGTATGCATTTTAAATAATGATTAGTTACCATTAATATGAATTATAAGATGAAATAAATTCATGGATTTGAATGGAAAAAAAATTTCTGTACCATATGATAATCAAAAAAAAATTAACCATTACTGTACACCTCTAAATTTTTAACAGAGGAAGCAACACAGACAATTGTTGAACTCCCTGATAATTTGACAGGTAAGCTTTCATTTGATCTATAAAAAGCATAGCAGATATAATTAATTTTACAGAGCATCATTTATATATGTATCATGTAACTTTTGAATGTATAATTTTTGCCAGAATTAATAGACATAACCCAAGTTAACAAACATTTGCAAAATTAATGTTTAAAAATTGTAAACTAAATGTGTACAATGGCTATCCATTTATGCATACATGAACTGTATTAAAGAGGTTTTAGCTATATTTTTTAAACTTTAAAACACATAATGTTTACCGGGAACAACTGTCACAAATGACCTGATGATAACAGAGTCTGGGGCTAAGATTAAGAAAAAAGATGAAAAAGGTAATTTTAATATGCTTGATTTACTCTTAACACATGAAATCAAAAATCCTTGCAATTTTCAAACACACACATTCATACACACACACACAGAGAGAGAGAGAGAGAGAGAGAGAGAGAGAGAGAGAGAGCATTCATGATTGAAAATCCTACAATTAAAAATATGAAAAAGATTTTTATACCTCAGAACATTGAAACTTTTCTTTTGAAATTTTGTGCAGAGAAAGGAAGAAAGAGGAAAAATGAAGAAAGTGTTGCTGAGCTGCAAAGACTGATTCTGAAAGAAGATTTGCGAAGAATTCGAGAAGAAACAGAGCTGATCAAACTACAGAAGGAAAAGGTTGCGTTGGAGATTCTGAACTTAAATTAGAAACATCATCTATGCAAACTGAAAATGAAATGTAAATTAAAAGTAGTTATTGACAATGAATTATCTGATGTTGTTATTCATGGGCTGGGCAGCTACACCATCTAAGCATTTAATTTTTTTTTCCATTTCAGGTAAAGTTAACTTGAAAATTACATTAACATTAAGGGAATGCAATTTCTAATAAGAGGCACATATATCAACGGGGGGGGGGGGGGGGGGGGGGGCTGCCTCTCACATTTTCCAAGCCTAACTTTTCACTACTAGTATTGAAAATGAAAATGTACATGTAAAGGCTAGTCCCCCTCACTTTTTTTTGCCGTGAAGTCATAAAGGGCTAATGTAGTAGCAGTGTATGATTAAATTTGGCACTGAAAGAAGCTGGAACCTACCCAACCACAAAATAGAATTTTTAAGCTTGGACAATTATTTTTTTTTCTTTTAGTTAAGTTAAAAATTTTCACATTGGATCCCCTTCCCTCCTTTCAAAAACGATGTAATATACCTGAATAACACCCTCACTTTTCCCCCAACATTTCTTTTACAATTGAAAATGTTGATTGAAAGGTTGGTCCCCCCACATACACACTTCTTACTGCAGTGAAGTTATATAAGGGAACTGTAGTGTCGTATGCCAAAAAACTGGTACTGAACGTAGTTGGCATTGATAAAAGTTGGCCTCCAACCCCCCAAGAAATAGGATTTTCGAACCGGGGCAATTCTTTTTGCTTCTCAATTTTTTGAAGGTAAGTAAGAAAATAATTCTCTGGCTGCCCCCCCCCCCCTCCCCTTTCCAAAACGATGCTACATCACTGAAGGATGCAAGGTAATGTCCCCAAGTATTTATGATATGTACATGTATTTACTTGTAATACATAATAATACTCCGAACATACCAATTACATATACATACGAGGGTTGTCCAAAAAGTTCGTGGAGAATGAAGTTTTTGTGAAAATAAATGGTTCTATATAAATCTGTTGTATATCAAAATATTTCTTATGAACAACCAAGTCAGAAAGATATAATTTTTATTGATGGAACGTATTATTTTTGTAAAAATCTTGGTCTTTAAAGGTCGCAGATAGTGCGCACGGACCAAGGTTAAAATGACATAAACTCTGATATAAAGTGTTCGGATTAAAATGATTATTTTCTATATAAAACAAGTCAAAAATTAATAAAAAATTTATGTAACACAAATAAAGAGGCTATAATCATTTTATGATATCTTAAGTATCGCTTACTATATAGACAGTCCAAATACTAAATAAAAACCCTGACAGATATGTGTCAAAACTCAGCAGAAAAAGCGACGTCGGTCGTCCGCACGGGTCAGCGTCCGATCAAAAAAATGTTTTAATACGGTTGAAACAACGTAAGAGACAAAATATGTGTTAAAACAACTCAAAATTATTCAAATATACTTGGTGTATCGATTTGAGATTGGTTTATTCTATTTTTCAACGGTGTGTACAAATTCGAAGACACTACAAGGATTGAAAACACATGTATTTTACTGAAAATAGAAATTTCTATTCATGAAGTTGTTACAAATCTAGCGCAGCATCGGACTGGGCTTTGCATTCTGTGTATAAAAACTGTTTATTTAGATGACGCTCGTAAATTTTTTGCATTGTTTTGAATTTAAAAAATTGAATAAATTATAATATATACTAAAAGATTATTGCTTGCATTTGGAAGTGCGTTGTGCCTTTAAAAAATATGCAGTTCGTGTCCATGAACATGCGTTAAGTCAAAATCCAAATGTTTGACGTTATAAAGAAATTAGCTTAACGTCAGACCGGTCCGTGCGCACTATCTGCGATCTTTTAAGACCCCGATTTTTACAAAAATACCAAGTTCCTTCTAAAAAATTTATATCAATCTGACTTGGTTTTTCATAAGAAATATTTTGATATACAATCGATTTATACAGAACCATTTATTTTAACAAAAACGT